ACAAAGTCTAATAAAAAATATACAATATAATACTATGTGTGATACATAAAATAATATAATAAATAATACAGAAATTAATACAATCAAATGATATATAAGTTAAATCAAAGAAAACATAGTCGTAAAAATAATAAAAGATATAATAATGACCGGTACGAGGAAAGAGAAGATATACAAAGTGAAGTGAGTCCAGAAGTGACGAGACAAGAAACAGTAGAAAGTTTCAGAGTCAAAAAGTGATAAGATAGGGATGAAACGAAATCTATCAAGAAAATAGGATAATGGCTCAAGAATAGTCTCACGGATAAAATATGATATGCGTCTAAATTGTCCATTATATTCTCACCGGTAGGAACTCTAGACCTTGACCTGCATGGGCCACCAAAAGAACATGTCACGCCCCGCTTACCAAAATAACGGGGAATTAGAATGTGAACAAGCCCACGACGTATTAGATTAAAGAGAATAAATAAAAATAAATATTTCTCCACCACCTAATACGCTAAGCGTCAAGAAATAAATAAAAAGGCACGTGTCCCCGATCACAGATAACGAGAATGTAATAAACAACTCAGAACAAAATATCCATATCACAAGTGATTATCATCCAAGACATAATATTCGGGTCAACATGCCCTTATACAAAATTGAACAACTAAAAACTAAAGAAACATAAAATACATCATTCAACAAAAAAGAAAGGAAATACTGCAAAAGTAAACTAAGACCATTAACTAAGAAGAGATAACAGAACTTCGGCCTATTCTTCAACTCTATCTGCAAGGCACTCCTGCTGAGAATATCCTGGCTCTGGTACATCTCCAAGCTGGATTTGTTCTTCTCCTAAGTCTGATGTACACCAGAGAAAATAGGTTTACATCAGCGTGCATGGCACAAGGCAAGATCCCACCGAGAGAAATAGAAATGGTCGAACGACCAAGGCAAAAACAGTAATAATAATAATAGAAGCATGCTACTAGAATACTTATAATCTAAATGCAATCTATCAATAGAATATAATAATCAGAAGAATCCAAGAAAATTAATCAAGTAACAAGATCATGCAGCTAGCGATCAGAATAATCATCCAAGTAACAAGGTCATACAACTAGATGGAATTAATACCTAAAAATCTATAATAAGAGACGTAGATAACGAGAATATAATAAACAACTCAGAACAAAATATCCATATCACAAGTGATTATCATCAAAGACATAATATTCGGGTCAACATGTCCTTATACAAAATTGAACAACTAAAAACTAAAGAAACATAAAATACATCATTCAACAAAAAAGAAAGGAAATATTGCAAAAGTAAACTAAGACCATCAACTAAGAAGAGATAACTGAACTTTGGCCTATTCTTCAACTCTATCTGCAAGGCACTCCTGCTGAGAATATCTTAGCTCTGGTACATCTCCAAGCTGGATTTGTTCTTCTTCTAAGTCTGATGTACACCAGAGAAAATAGGTGTACATCACCGTGCATTGCACAAGGCAAGATCCCACAGAGAGAAATAGAAACAGTCGAACGACCAAGGCAAAAACAGTAATAATAATAATAGAGCATGCTACTGGAATACTAATAATCTAAATGCAATCTATATCTAGAATATAATAATCAGAAGAATCCAAGAAAATCAACCAAGTAACAAGATCATGCAGCTAGCGATCAGAGAAGAATCCAAGAAAATCAACCAAGTAACAAGATCATGCAGCTAGCGATCAGAATAATCATCCAAGTAATAAGGTCATACAAAAAATCAACCAAGTAACAAGATCATGCAGCTAGCGATCAGAATAATCATCCAAGTAATAAGGTCATACAACTAGATGGAATTAATACATAAAAATCTACAATAAGAGATGTAGTACGTCGAGAAAAATAATTCAAATAAAGAAACACTTATGTATATACCATATGACTCAAATTGTAGATAATTAAATATTAACCCTGATCTATGTATGAAAAAAATTACAAATGGCCTACATCTCACAAGAACCCATAATCAGCTTAAGTACACTAGTAGAAAAACGATCAACCTAGACGGAAATTTCCGTCTAGGTTGATTGTAATTCCGTCTAGATTAGTTCATCTAGACGAAATTCCGTCTAGTTTGATTGGTTTATTTTGCTTCCGTCTAGATTGCTTCAAACTAGACGGAATTCCGTCTAGATTGATCAATCTAGACGGAAGTCAACCTAGACGGAATAAAGAATTCCGTCTAGGTTGGCAACCCAGACGGAATTTCCGTCTGGGTTACCAACCTAGACGGATTTTTACAACCTAGACGGAATTTCCGTCTAGGTTGATTCAATCTAGACGGAATTCCGTCTAGATTGTCTTTTTTCAGGAAAAAAAAATTAATTAAAATTTGGATTTCCCTGTACAATTACATTAATATTTGAATACATCCAGAAAATACTGTACACGCCACATTCAACCATCCAATCATAATCAAAATTCATAACAATTCCATTCAAAAACATCTATATAACCAAATCCAACACATTGTACAAATCCAACCATCCACTTCAAAATATACATCAATCAGTTCCGTCTAAAACACATCCAACAACATATATACTAACAATGCCAGTGACTAAGATATGATACACGACATGAATAAATATAGTGTTATAACAAATAAAACTGTTTATTGCATTAAAAATAAAAAAACCTCATCCATCGTCGTCGGCGGGGGTATCTCTATCCCGATTACGAGAACGGGTGCTGCTCCCTCCAATATCTCCACTCTGAATGTTTAATTGAATAATCATTATGTGGTGTTTGATAACATATTAGATAAAAATGAATTTATAAATATAAGAAAAAATAAGGTACCTGAGCACTACTCTGTCTAGCGCCGGAATTATCGCCAATCGAGCTAATGATCCGTATGACACCACCATACGCGCTATAAGGAATAGCACCGCCTAAATATTGTATAACATACCCCATGAGATCGTCCATCGAGTTCGCCGTCAGCGCAACTCTAGTCATCTCATTAGTCACCTGAATATGCAGCTCCGGGTCAATTTTGTCAATCAAGAAGGCAGAGATACGTGCGACAAATGGCATAGCCTGGAAACTGCTTGTGGCTGCTCTATGCGATGTAGATGGTGTGGAGGATGTTGTGGACGATCTAATGCTTATACCGGGTGAAGCTCCGACACCATGCAGAGGATATCTTCCTCTCCTATTATTAGGGAGAAATAAATATTAAACTTTGCTCTCAAATTCAATAATGGTAAACAAATATAAATAGTATGTAGTATTCAAATTGATTCGATTTTTCACCATCCTTACCTATTATGACCCATCAGGTTCTGTGTGAGATTGATGTTCTCCTCTGCAGAAAGCATGTGAGGGTCTGGCTCGGTTTGTTCCTCCTCCTGCGAAATGTAGACAGATGCAGCCTCCTTGGATGCGTTCTCAAATCCCTCCTAAAGCACAAATTTATAGTTAATTCAAGATAATGACCATATTATTTGTGTTCTCGTTTCCTCGTAATGTTAACAAAATAGAATTAATAATACTACTCAAGATATGTATAAGTCTCACCACTAACTCGAGATTTTTTGTGATCTTATCCCGATTCCACTCATCACCCCTATATTGTTCACAAAAAGTACCATATGCCGCTTTGGCCCTCAAGTGTATCGGCATTAATGATTTCCCCTGTCATATTATAAATTATGAGATTTCATAATCATACTAAACATTAAGATCTTTTAAATCTTTAAATGACATATACCGTATCTTGACAATAAACATCCTCCAGATTGGCGTAGGAGTGTGAGCCCAAGTGATGGTCATGCAGCTTCTTTCTTCTATTTTCTGACCCCTTCGTGGATTTATTCTTTAAAAAAATTCTGTAAATATAAAATGAAATAATATCTTAAAATTATAAACTAAATTTCATGAAACTAACCTTGGCGGCATCGCTGTCCCAATACATGAGGAGAGCCGTGAAATGAATCTCGTCAACTCGGTCATCGAGGTTTAAAAACCTCTGTCGGTCCTCCTCATACCTGTCATAGGTTTCATGTTTGATCTCATGCCTCCATTGTTTGAGAACTACTTCAACCTTAACATTGAACACATAATTCCAATTTCCAAGCCCCCTCAAAGTCCTCAAGGCAGAAGCAGTCCTGTAGATTTACATACACATTTAGTAAGGATAATTTAATATCAATTACTAATTATTAATAAATGAAAATCTAAAACAATATGCACTTACCATAAGCGCAATCCATATCGCCTCGTATGCGGTCCATGGTAATTCTTGAAAATGAAAATAAGGGTTGACAATGGTCGCTCTACGCACGAGAACCCCAATATATGCATTCAATCGGGTTGACCAAGGACCAACGGGCAAATTAGAACTATTCCACCTAATAATGCCCCTCATTCCTCTTGGCGGTTGTTTAGAATCAGGCTTACCTCCGCCACGTCGTCCCTCTATGCGATCCTTCTTAGCACCTACAATAATGACAACATGATAATATATCATATAATATACAAATGTGAAAATTAAAAGTATTTATATAATTTACCATTCGCTATCTCTCTTTCTTTTGTTGCGAGTGCAACAGCTTTCCTAGTCTCCAACATAGACAGCATTTCCTGATACCTTCTCGCAGCACGTGGGTGGTACTTCCTTGAATCAGCCTTGGACTTATGAGAGTCTGGAGGTAAAGGTAAACTGAGAAAGTCCTGGTTCTTTGGCCGCAAGTCAGTATGTAATGTATATGATGGATATGTCGGGGTCCAAGTAGCACCTACATAAGAAAGAAGAATCATTAATATTAAATTTTAATTGAACATTATCAATTATTAAATATTTAATACCTGCGTCGGGGGATGGTTCTGGTGCTGCGTCGGGGGATGGTTCTGGTGCTGCATCAGAGGGGCCGGGTGATGAATATCCAGCATCTACAACAAATGAACACTATGAGCTAGATAACTAAAAATTTATAAAACATGTTAAAGTATTAATTAATTTTTATACCTGCATCCGGAGATGGTAGTGGATCATCAGCACCACTACCTGGGGTGATACTCCGTGAGCGATCACCCTCCAGGTCAAAGAGCCTCCTCATCCTTCTCCTCATCTGCAAATATAATAAAGACAATCGTTATGAAAAAATTGTATACATGCTCATGAGATATGTTGTTATGAAATGCATTATTGTTTTTATTATGATAAGATAAAAATCGATAATGTGGTGTAACATATCAGGTTCATACCTACATCCAGCGCCACATTCTGTGCGTAAGAGAATTCTTGCCAAACATCATCAGATGAACCGATTGGTTCACTATAATTATCTTTACCTTCTTTAATATTTTTTTCATTGTTATTAGGAAGAACAACAGATCTTGTCTCCTTGTACAAAACCACCCAATCATACATGACATTCAGATCTTTCACATAGAAGCACTGATCAGCTTGTTCTGTAAAAATGATTTTCTCATCCGTATATACTTCTCGGTGAAGATTGGCTACTGTAAATCCATAATGATCCTTTTGCTTTTTTGCAGGACACCACCGAACCTTGAACATTGTGTAAGTACATTGTTTTGGTTTACCAAACCCGTAAATTACCTCAACGATATCTTCTAATTGGCCATAATATAATATGTCAGCTAGAATTGGATTCTGATCTCTTATACTTGAAAAACATTCTTGAGCAAACAAGCCCATGACCCCACTGTTCTGAGTTACCCTCCTATCATCGGTCTCTAACGTTCGAAATTTATATCCATTCACCAAATGCTCATTATAACGTCTCACTTCGTGATAAGGACGTTGTGCATGGATAATAATTTCATCTGGTAATGTAGTATCATCAAGAAGTGATTTTTCAACCTAAGACAAACAATTTGAGAATATTTAGGCGATGTTATATTATGAATGTTCAATAATTAATTGTAAAACACTTACATCAAATCTTAACCAATCAGAAAATTCTTTCTTATGTCTTTTCTGAATATTGTGCGCTGCATTCCTACCGGTTGTTTCATTCTTAAGCTTCTCCAGATGTCGCCTATATAAACAATATATAAGTTTGTATTGATAAACTATATGTAAAATGAATATTTCTCATCTATATTACAGATTTTATTTGTTACCTTCGATAGTCTTCGAACATATCAAGGTTTTCCAACACATATGCATGAATTTGATCTAAGAGAGATCTCGGGTATTTTTCACGCTTCCTCTCCTTTTGAGGTGCTTGAGATGTGGTTTTCTTCTTACGCATGTAACGTGATGCAAACACAAAGCATTCGTTAGCCACGTATCCTTCAGCTATCGAGCCCTCGGGACGAGCTCGATTGCGAACATTGTTTTTCATGCAGCCCAAGTATCTTATAATCATAAAAGTTAATTATTAGCATGGTAATTTGAAAAACGCGTATACAATTAATAAATATAAGAAAAATCGTAAATTACCTTTCAATCGGATACATCCAACGATAAGTAACAAGACCGGCGATTCTAGCCTCTCTGATACATCCAACGATAAGTAACAGGACCGGCGATTCTAGCCTCTCTTGCAAGATGCTGGGTAAGATGGACCATAACCGTAAAAAAAGAAGGAGGGAATATTACTTCCATATTGCATAGAGTAACTCGGACATCGGCTTCAAGTTTCTTAAAGTCATCTACATCTATGACTTTAGAGCATAATTTTCTGAAAAATCCACAATACTCAATAATAATCTTCGACGCTTCTTTATCCATATTGTTACGGATTGCAACAGGGAGCAATTGATGGAGAAGAACGTGATAATCATGTGTCTTCAGACCTAAGAGTTTTCTCTCTTGCACCTGGACATTATTTGAAATGTTAGCAGAGTAACCATCCGGCGACTTTACCGATTTGAGAATTTCACAAACTCGTTGCATCTGCTCATTTGACATTGTAACACGAGACGGAGGCAACTTTAATTTTTTAAGGCCAACGTCTTGAGCTTGCAAATCATTTCGGATATTCAAAGCAGTCAGATCTTGGCGCGCTCGTAGATCATCCTTCGACTTGTTTGCATCTTGTAGGAGAGTTGATACTATGTTATCACATATATTTTTCTCAATATGCATAACATCTAAGTTGTGTCGGATTTTTAGATTCTGCCAGTAAGGTAGTTGAAAGAAGATACTAAATTTAGTCCATCATCTAAGTAATGTTTGGGCTTCGTCCTCAACTTGCATTTTACGGACCTTTCGCTTACGCTTCAATGGTTTTTTTAACTTTAAGTAATCTCTTACTCCGAGCGTGTTAAATTTAGAATAGCGTTTTTTCCCAAACACAACTTTTGGAAACCCCTCAAGTAATTGAACGATCTCAGTACCTGTCAGTTGACGCGGCTTCATTCTTTTCTCAACTGTACCATCAAACTTAGCTGATAATTTTCTGTACTTATGACTCAAGGGCAACCACCTTCGATTAAACCAATAACAACTCTTTCGGCTATGTGGTAATTGAATAGCTTCAAATTCTGGACCACATACAGGACAAGCACACTTGCCCTTCGTAGAGTACCCTGACAGATTAGCAATACAGGACAAGCACACTTGCCCTTCGTAGAGTACCCTGACAGATTAGCATAAGCTGGAAAATCATTAATTGTCTATAGTAGAATAACACGTAATCTAAACGACTCTTTTAAATGGGCATCATATGCTAAAATACCCTCAGACCATAATTGTTTTAGCTCATCAATTAGAGGCTCTAAGTAGACATCAATGAGGGTATCATTGGATGTAGATATACCTGAATACGGGACGGTGGACTCAACACTATTCACCTGCTCAAGATCAATGTTTAGATCGATGCCCAGAGACCCGTCATGAAGGGCGTCACACATCTGCTGCATAAAGCAATCTATGTTATTAGATCCAGGAGATACCGGACCCGGTGGGAGTTCGCCCTCTTCGAAGAACCCTGGAGCATAAAACATGGTCACGAATCCCAAAAGGTAAATCACCTTAAAGCAATAAAAATAAAATGTTACCTTCCCCTCCATCGGCGGTGCTTCCTAAGTCCACTCCATAAGGACGCTGACCGTCGTGGGGTTTATGTGCGGTCTTCTTCCTCTTCGGGGCACCAACCCTCCGAGAACCAACGGGTCGGTCATGCACAGGCTTGTCACACGTTTCAACGTGTGTAGGAGCTGGCGGCTCATGATCGTCAACTGTCCTATCTAAAGTGACAATGGTCATTTCATTAAACAAACAAGAGCTGTCGTTTATACCAATTAGAATGAAGAAGGAAAATCAAAGAAGCAGGACAAACCGGTATCGAGTTCTCCTCTGTCGGTATCTGCATCCAAATATTCTTCCTCGGAGGTCTCGTCGTCGTCACCCGTAGGAAGGAGCTCTTCATCATCTGTGAGAAGAGATTGTTCATGTATAATCTTCGCAATCTAGGAGCCAATGGAAAATGTCGAAGCACTTTGACTGGAATTTTCTTCTGTGTTATCCCTGTCTCCGTTGTAATCCTTGTTGAAGAATTTGTGCTCTGTTTCCACTTAGAAACTCCACATGTCGGACACTCTTGAAGGTCTTTATTGGCTTTGTGGTACAAAATACAATCATTCGGACATGCATCAATCTTATTATAATCAAGACCCAGAGCGGAGACAATCTTCTCAGCTTGATAAGTTGTTTGGGGTATGCTATTCTCTCCTCCAGGGATTACAGTCCGAAGCAAATCAAGAAGCATTTCAAAATAATTATCTGACATACCGCTAAGTGTCTTAATATGAAGGAGTTTCAGCATAAATGAAAATCTGGAGTACTCGGTACATCCCTCATATAAGTCCTTTTCACTATCTTCTAGTAGCTCCATTATTCGCTTTATTTCTGCGGAGGAATGCATATCACCAATATTTTCGACACTCGCGACACCTCCTACCTCTTCGGCTTCAACTTCATTATCATCTTCACTTTTGTCTCCAATATCATCCTCGACGTTATCATCAACATCATATTCTGTAGGTCGAGGAAAAATATCATTCAACAATGTTTCTGTGTCATCTATTCGTTGGCCACCGGACGTACGAACATGCATATTTCGATCATTATCTTCAGTGATACCCTCCCCATGCCAGTTCTAGTATTTATATTTCTCATCAAAACCTGATTTTATTAGGTGAATCCGTATATCATTTCTATTCAGCAGCTTCAAATTCCTACACCTACAACAAGGACAGTACATAGCACCGCTTCTTAAATTTCTCGGATTCATTTCCGCATAACGCATGAAGGCTTCACATCCCTCCTTGTATCGTGTGTCGTGAAATCTACGATACCTAGGGATATCTATCCATGACTTGTCAGGAATTATCCTCATCTGTAAATTATATATAAATATTAAATACGATTAGTCTCACAACTACTAATACATCCATTACTCTTATACATTCAACACACATCAAACATACGTTCATATATCATTTAACAATATGAATATTTATCTACATAAAATATATATAAAACATACGTAAAAACTAATTACACTAATCTTGCGGCTGTCATAGGAAGGCTTCTATCCATTAAGAATATAGTAGTGCTTACATCCAACTTCATATACTTTGTATATTTTCATTTCTTGAAAATTTCGGCAGCACCTACCCGCTGTTCTCCCTGTACACTGTGCGGATGTTATTATGCGTATCAGTAATAACCCGAAACGCAGAACAACATACGCTTATTGTACACGGAGAACAACGAATAGGTGCTGCCAAAACTTTCAAGAATGAAAATATACAAAGTATACAAAGTTGGATGTATGCACTACTATATTCCTAACCCGTCCGAGAAGGACAGATCCAATAATTACGAATTTCAGTACCAATTTTTTATTCCTATAATATAAAATAAACGCTCATTTTTGGGAGAAAACTTCGTCTCCTACCCAAATCTGAGTCGTATATCATATATTATAAGTCCAAATAATTGGATGTAATTATTGGACGGAAGTCTAGGGATAACGTTATTTTTTTATTCACCTAAATTGGATTATAACACATTATAAAAATTTATAATGTGTTATATATCACTCTATTTTTTAAAAAAAAATTATTTCACATA